TGTGCAAGCTCACTCTAAGCTCGCGCTCAGCCGTCGCGCAAACAGCTATGACCGCCATTGAATGCGACGCTGTTGTGAAATACTCAAACTCTCGAAAAGCTTCATCCTGTTTGCCGCTTGGAGCGGCTTGGGGATCTACAAACGACGACATGATGCGCTGTCCTTGTCTTTTAGGTAATATTGCTTATGTGCGCTGTTTTACCATTTCGAACTGAATTTTTGTTCAATTTTCCGAGCTCAGGGAGCGTGCACAAATGTGGCTGCACGCACTGCGCGTACTGCCTTTTGCAGCAATAACTTTTGTAATGTAAAAAAAGAAATCTTTGCACGTGAGTTTATATATATATATATATATATATCAGGGTGTCGAACCGGAACCGAACCGAACCTAAAACCGGAACCGAACCGGTATTTTTTCCGGAACTGAACCCGAACCCGAACCGTTATATTTTTATCGCGATGAACCCGAACCGGAACTGAACCGGAAAAAAAATAACGGTTACCGGCTCATGTCAAAACGGTTCGGCCACGCGCTGTTGACAATGAATGTGCTATCAATGCCATTTGTTTTTTAAGCGCCGTCAACTGACACACACCGCGCTTACATATTTTTCTTCTCCACTCAGTCTTATGAATATAAACGCTGCATCCATAAATCTTGACAAACGCTGCATCCATGAATCTTGACATAGGAACCAGTATTTCGCTGGTCGCGGCTGGCACGGAATAAAGAGAATTGGAAGGCTGCGCAGAAAAAGAAAATCGCGTCACGGGATTTCATTTTCCTACAATCTCGTAAATCCTAAATGCTGCTGTGTGCTCATTTCATAACACGTTTCTAGAACGCGCGAGTTCTTGAAGCTTGCTTCCATCGGAATGAGAAAAGAAAAGGCTGTGGAGTTTGATAATAATGCATCCGGTTTCGTATAGGCACTTAGAAGCTAACATATTTGTGAGACAGCGAACTCTTCTATTTTAATATTTATCCTATTACGTCCTTCTGGCGTTGCGTTCGGTGAAGTGTTTTTCATATTCCGTATCTTGTTTAATGAAAACTTCTTTAAGGGTTTAATTTGAGTTACCGAAGGCTAGTTCAAATTAAGAAAGCTGTATTTTCTTCCCACTGTTCCTTCAATTGCTTACACGCCGAGGTGGCGGGATAGTTAGCGAGTTCTAGTTGTAAGTGGGTTTGTAAGGAGGTCGCAGATTTTACAGCTACTGCGTCGGACCCAATTAGATGAAGTCCGAATGCGTAAACGTCGGTGAGGTAACCTTTGAGTGCAAATAAAAAAAACATTCCTGGTAGAAATCCCTGAGCCTTACACTACGATGTATACCGTTTCGTATGTGCTGATTTCAGATGATTTATTTGTAATTTATTTTGATGTTGCAATTTGTCATTTATAATTTCCGAACCGGTTCGCGAACCGGTTCAGCGCCCCGTACCGGTTCGCGAACCGGTTCGCGGATCGAATTAATCGAACCGGAACTGAACCGGAACAAAATAAATTTACCTGAACCTGAACGGTAACCGAACCCGTATCTTTTTTCAGTTAGACACACTGATATATATATATATATATATATATATATATATATATATATATATATTGTGTTTGTTTCTCAAACAGAAAAATATGTCCAGCAAAAAACTATTACGGCACAGAGAGAGCAGAAATTTTAAAACGAAGATGCCACATGTCAAACATCTTTCTAACCGAGCCGAGAAAACGAGCTTAGGCTAGGCAACTTCGGGCCATGCGCGGAACCTTGAGGAGGGCTAGCTCTACCTAAAGTGCGTCAAGCGGCGTAAGCACTGGCCAGCGAGGTGGAGGGGCTTAGAGCGAATAACTGGCATCCCGTTCACCAGGCAAAAGTGACCCCCACCTGTCTGCCACTATGTTGTACAAGTTTGACCACTAGATATGTGACCGTACCAAATTCTCAGGGTTGAACACAAAACTGAGCAAAGATTTTTATTGCGATAGCTGTAAAAAATATGAGCGACCGATTTTCAAAGCTGTTCATCCCTGAGATCAGTGTTTATCTTCGATAAAAAAAAAATAAATGACCTCTGCTGACGGCATCTAGCGTAGCCGTTGCAAGGCTGCCCAAGTTTTTGTCGTAAAAGCGCATGTTTGAGCTGCGCTCTAAAATGCCCTTTTAGAGCGCAGCTCTAAAATGCGCCTTTACTACAAAAACTCGTTTGCGACTTGAGCGGCGTTGCCGTCGGCATGACCGTGAGGTCACGTGACTCCCCCCAGGTCACGTGACACCCCCATACAGGTCACGCGACACCACCAAGTCACGTGACCCTCCCGGAACCCGAGTCACGAGACCCCTCCCCCCCCCCCCCCCCGAGATCACGTGACCCCCGTGAGGGGAGGAGGAGAAACAAGGGGAGCAGGGAGGATGAGCAGCGGGGACGAATCCGAATTTTCATAGCTCCGAAAAATGATTTTAAAAAAGTGAAAGCCGTTTACAACTTCCTGTAACGCCGAATTGGAGCGCAGCTCTTGAGGAGGAGGAGTGGAGGGTATATTCCTCCTCCTCCCTCGTGATCATGCCTGCTAGTCCTCCTCCCCTCCTGCTCCCCCTCCCTCTCCTTTACCACCTCCTCGTCCTTCAAGCTCCTCCCCTCCCCTCGCCTCCGCCTCCTCGCCTCTCCTCCCCCCCTCCTCCACCTTCGTACTGCTTTCCTCCTTGCCGCTCAAGCCGGACAATGAGGGGAGGAGGAGGAGAAGGAGGGGGAGGAGGAGGAGGGGGAGGAGGAAGAGGGGGGAGGAGGAGGGGAGGAGGAGAAGGGGGAGGAGGAGGAGGGGAGGAGGAGGGGGAGAAGGAGAGGGAGGAGGAGGAGAGGGAGGGGCGCGGTTACGCCGACGCCGACGCCGACGCCGACGGCGACGGCGACGCCAACGGCGACGCCGACGCCAACGGCGACGCCGCTCAGGCTGGAAACGGGCCCCTAAGAGCTGCGCTCTAAAAGGCTTTTATCCCTTGTTCCTCTGCCGGCTTCGAACCGGAGCCCTTTCGTTCAGGAGTAGCTGGCAGGATCACGAAGGAGGAGGAGGGAGGGGGAATATAAACTCCCCTCAGTACCCTTCGCTCCTCCTCCTCAAGAGCTGCGCTCCGATTCGGCGTTACAGGTAGTTGTAAACGGCTTTCATTTTTAGAGCGCAGCTCTTAGGGGCCCGTTTCCGGCTTGAGCGGCGTCGCCGTCGCCGTCGCCGTCGCCGTCGGCGTAACCGCGCGGTGCATCATGGGAAATGTCCCATAATGCACCGCGCGAGCCCCCCACCGGGGTCACGTGACCTCGTGGGGGGTCACGTGACCCCCCGAAGTCACGTGACTCCCCTGAGGTCACGTGCCCCTCCTCGAGGTCACGTGACCCCTCCTCGAGGTCACGTGACCCCCGCCGATGTCGCGTGACCCCCCGATGACGTCATCGTCACTGATGACGTCACCGGAATCCACATCGTCATCGTCATCATCACTGATGACGTCATGAGCATCCACACCGTCATCGTCATCATCACTGATGACGTCATCGGCATCCACATCGTCATCGTCATCATCACTGATGACGTCACCGGCATCCACATCGTCATCGTCATCATCACTAATGACGTCACCGGCATCCACATTGTCATCGTCATCATCACTGATGACGTCACCGGCATCCACATCGTCATCGTCATCATCACTGGTGACGTCACCGGCATCCATATTGTCATCGTCATCATCACTGATGACGTCACCGGCATCCACATCGTCATCGTCATCATCACTGATGACGTCACCGGCATCCACATCGTCATCGTCATCATCACTGATGACGTCACCGGCATCCACATCGTCATCGTCATCATCACTGATGACGTCACCGGCATCCACATCGTCATCGTCATCATCACTGATGACGTCACCGCCATCCGCATCGTCATCGTCATCACCACTGATGACGTTACCGACATCCGCATCGTCATCGTCATCATCACTGATGACGTCATCAGTGACGTCACTGACATCGTCACCGGCATCCGCATCGTCATCGTCATCATCACTGATGACGTCATCAGCGACGTCACTGATGACGTCACCGACAATCGCATCGTCATCGTCATCATCACTGGTGAAGTCATCAGTGACGTCACTAATGACGTCATCGGTACCCGCATCGTCATCGTCACTGATGACGTCATCAGGGACGTCAGTGATGACATCATCGGCATTGGGGGTCACGTGACCCCCCCCTGGTTAGTTTAACCCCCCCCCCCCCCCCAGTGCCCTTCCCTCCTCCTCCTCAAGAGCTGCACTCCAATTCGGCGTTACAGGGAGTTGTAAGCGGCTTTCATTTTTGAGTTAAAACAAACTTAAAATAGCTTGCCTCGTCGCTTCTGTTATTAAATATCAATAAGCTATTATCTGTGCCGAGTACTTTGTTAAACTCTAGACACAAATAAGGTTACGTGTCTGGTGGTCGAAAATGTCCAACATGGCGGCGGCCGGGTGGGGTCACTTTCAGCCTCCAGTTTATTTATCTAAGCCCCTCTACTTCGGTGGTATTGCGCAATAAAAACAACAATGTCGTGCAATTCTTTGTCGTTTAATACTTATTTCACTTAGGGTACTTTTTTAAACAATTCATATTTTTATTTTATTCTCGTTTCAAGGCCGGTGAAGAAAATGCTATTGCATATAAAACGGACATTACCCACCAAATGACATATTGTAATCCCTAAGATGGAGAACGATAAAAAAAAGGACGAACACAACAAAATCTCAAGATTGAGATTTTGTTGTGTTCGTCCGTTTTTTTTATCGTTCCCCATCTCAGGGTTTATAAGATGTCGATTAATTACCAGCTCGCCTGCACTCTCTCACTGCTTACAAATGACATCCCTGACGGCACGCGGTCCATTTCGACGGGGCAAAAGCAGCAAAGTCTTATATAGTGATACGCACTAAAGGCTGAAATCCAAACCGGAATCACTGCGTACCTTTTGTAATTCTTCCAACTCTTGTGCCGCTAGAAAGGGCTCCACGAAGTCCATGTATCTGCGAAGCATGTCTCGCAGAGGCACCACGGGCAAGGTGGGCAGTTCTTTCTGTCTGGACATCATCATACCTTCAGGTGTCTCCGGTTCGCCAGCGACAATCAGAGATGAAGACATCCTGCAAAAAGTCAATGCGCAACCATGGAGTTAACGTGAAGTAGCTCCGGGCTACGCGTCGTTCCTTCCGAAACTGGCTCCGCTAAGTAATTTTTTTGCTTTCCTTCGGAGGACTTAGAGGTTACATGCTCGCCTGTCTCAACACTAGCCGGCAAACATTAACCTCACACTATGGTTACCTCTGCATGACACAATCTCTTCTGCTAACGCCGTATAGACAAGAAGTTAAATGCACTCGAAATTTCACGCTACTGCACGACCGAGACACCATAGCGATTGGATGCAACTACTGCGTCAGTGTTCTTTGGGGACTCGCGTATAATTAACGCGTCGTCGCCGGTCTGGTTTCAGATGGTGAAGTATTTTTTTTATTTTCTTTTTTAACATAAAAAGTAAATTTACAGGTTCTAAGCAGTCCCTGTTGCACGCCGCCATATGTGTAAACGGCAGACCCAAAACATTTCAGTATTCTAATCTCTTAGTAACAGCAGGAAACGTGCGCTTCAAGCAGGATGCGCCGCTCCGTGTCCAGGAATACAGCAAGTACACCTACTCAAAAGGACTTCATTTTTGCGATGACCTAGTTTTACAAGTTTTGCGATTTGAATGGTAATGTCAAATTTTCATCAAGCGAATAAATATATTGTGACGAATGAAGGTGACGAGAGGACGAACTGTGAGCTGAAAGTAGAGGTTTAACTGGCGAACTTGTGCCAAAGAAAAAAGAAGGCGAGCTTCGAGGCAGCAGAAAAAACGAGATTAACTCAGCTGGGTCGCGGGCCGCCGCTTATCTGGAGCGTGTCAGCATCTGGAATGTTCTGCAAAGAAGGTTCGAACGTCGCGGGTTCGCGGCAAGAATGAACATGCATTTTCGTGAGCAAGAAACAAGGACGAAATTATAGAAGTCACGCATCGAGTATGAAGAGGCATCCTCCAGAAGTGCGTGACGGAGTGTTGCTTGCTCGGCATTGCGCGCGGCATTGTCCCCCCCCCCCCCCCCTACTATGGTGCAACCCCACCCTTGGTGTTGGTGTGTTTCTGAACCAACAGATGGCGGTGGGATCACCTTCCAGGCCCGTAGATCAGTGCGAAAAATCTTGTGTGGTGGCGCTTCCATACAGTGAGGTATTTTTTTATATCCTGAACTTAACATCCCTGGTCCTTCGCTTGTTTTTCTCTGCACGTGCTTTCTTTGGAACGCGCACGGCTGTGCCAGTTCTTGTACAAGGGGGCCAGTTGTCTACGCTCCGAGCTCCCGTCCTTAGCAAATGTGGTCCGAAGAAAACGAAAATCATCCTTGGCCAAGTGTCGAGACAGATGCACAACAAAACAACCGATGAGCTGAAAAATATTAAATTGCCTGTGCGCCGTTAGGAAACCACGGGGATTTCAAAGACCGATTACATATACTTCAATGTGACAGGGTTTATATGACGGGCCGAGCCTTTTGTCGTGCATGCGTTTGGCTTCTTGTGGATTTCCAGGAAAACGTGATGACGTGATAGACTTGGGTTTCCAAAGTTCTAGCTTGAGGAATTAGATACCACAAAAATCAAAACAAATAAACTATTTTTAGGCGGTCAGGTGCCTCATTTAGGTAGCTGGGTGTTTATTTTGACCAAAACCACGAGACTGGAAAACAAAAAAATGACACTTAGGTTTAGATATTGGTTAACCCAAAGAAGGACTGGTACAAGAGCCATATTGAAAAAAAAAAAAAACAAATGGCAGGGTTAAAAATTAACTCCCAGCAATAATTGATAAGAACTAATTTTAGTACGAGTTCAGTGATACTTGCAATGACTGGCCATGGGCAAAGATTCTGGGTCGGGTATAGCTTTGGCACAGATTTTAGGGAATGTACTGTCTTAATTTGGCGATTTATGCGCGCAAATAGTGGTGTGCAAAAATAAAAAAAAAATGCAAACGGGTAGAGTTTGACGTTGTATGAAATATAGTGTAAGCACGCACATGGTGCGCTGATTAAGACTGAAACAGCGCTAGAATTTACACTAGCGTTGAGCGTGTCCAAATTTAAGGGTGCATCTAAAGCTAAAGCTTGTACACACAAGCTGTTCAGGCCATAATGTTTAAATGTTTATTGCACTTTATTACCCTCAGCTTTTGTGTAAGTTGTCTCCTGATTGCTTAAAACAGAAAGTAGGAAACAGTTTAACTCTGGTTTCATAGAAAAACTCCCCCTGCTGATTATGAGTATTCACAGCATGCCAACGGTCACGTGCTAAGAACGAGATTTTCCCACGCGATTTCGTACAATCCGAATTGTTCTTGAAAAACAATATTGTTTGCTCACGCAAGCTGCCACATGTGAAGTTTAGAATATTTTGTATAAATTGTGGCACACGGGGCAAGTTGCATGGGTTTTTCAAACAATCCGCGAAATAGAATGCTCCTGGCTTACTAGGGTCTTTAATGAATGTAGCACACGAAAGAACACGAAATAAATCGCAGTGGGAAACAAAAATAACAATGATAAACAAGTGTATAATTACGCGAAAGCTGAGGGCATTGCACATATCCAGAAGGTAAGCTTTGTTTCACAAAATACAGTAGCAGTAAAGTATTTGGTTTTATCATGCGAGCAAAGCGGAACATACAAGCACAAGCATACTGCTCTGATCTGTGCGTCCAGCGAAGAAGCGCACCGTCCAAAGCATCGAGCTCGCTTTTATAGCTTTTGGTGCGCCAAAAAACTTTGATAACACCATTATAACCAATTCCATTATTTCAATTATTTCTATTAGGTGCGCCTAGCAATGTGTGTGTGTTTTTGCTTTTTGCGTTCACGTGCCATTTTCTTGGTTATCTAATTTTTTTTTCCAGAAGTCCCGCAGCTATAGTCTGTTTTATCATAAGTAAGAACCACATGATCAAAGATGTACACACAAAAAAAAGAACGCGAACGCACATTAAAAATGCAGTGTAGCGGCGCATTCAAAATTAGTCGTTAGTTTATTAGAGAGCAGCAGTTTCGTAGGGCGACATTGTTACCCGTTGAAGATTATAAAAAGTGCAGTGCAACTGTTAGCTCGGGGTCTTTAACGTACATTACGCACTATATGGGCACACAAACGCACGACGGTAGGATGCAGACGGGCGACTGAACCCAGGACCTCTGCCAAGGCCCCTTGATAAAGGCGTCCTTTACAAGTGCCGCCACCATTGTTGTGAAAACGCTCAAGACACGGGCCACGAGCGTGCGCTCCGCCACCATTAGCTTTCGAGGGTCAGTCATTTTACTGCTGCGCCGCCATTTGCCTCCAAGGGCCGCTCGGGAGACGGGCCTCGTGCACTGCCACATTTAAGGTTACGTGATAGATAGATAACAACTTTAATGTTCCACCAGATGAGGAGACACCTAGTCCTCGTCCCCGGCACGCAGGCCTAGGATACGGGGCCAGGGACCTCCGCGGTTAGAAGCAGGCAAAGAGGTCTTGGCTCTTCGCGGCTTCTTCCGCCAGGCGGATGGCTTGCTGCTGTAGAGCAGGGACCTCGCTCCGCAGCAGGGCTTCCCAGGCTTCTCCACAATTTATATTTGCTTTAGCCCCTGGGGAGCTAGCACATTCCCAGATTATCTGGTCAAGGGTCCCTCTCGCCCCACAGTGCTTGCACTTATCGTGTTGCCTGTCATCTATCCGAACATGGTATGCCCAGACTGGGTTTATGAAGTCCCCAGCTTGCAGGCGCCGCCATGCGACTGCCTCCCTATTGCTTAGACGTTTGTCTGGTGGTGGCACCTGTTTCCTTTGTAATCTATAATTTTCCACAATCTCCATATAAGTTTGCAGACGCTCGTCCATGTCCCGGCAGTCGGGTGGCTCCACAGTTACCCGGAAGGAGAGAGCTCGGGCTAACTCGTGGGCCGCCTCGTTGCCAGGAACGGACGTGTGTGCGGGGGTCCAAATTAGGCTAATTTTTCTGTTTAGCTGTCTACCGGTAAGAATCCTTGCCGCTTCCGGCGAGATCCTACCCTTCCCAAAATTCCAGATGGCCGTTTTGCTATCGCTAATAATAAAATTGGCTTTCGTTCCAACGCAAGCGAGCGCTATCGCAACTTCTTCAGCCGTTTCTGCGTTGCGGCTTCTAATGGTGGCGGCCGATACGGGAGCACCTCGGCCGTCAACCACCGAGGCGACCGCCGCACCCGACTTGCCACTTGCCGCGTCCACATACGCAACCGACTTGCTGTCCATTATATCGAAGCGTCTGATTAGTGCTTCTGCTCTCTTCTCCCTCCTCTCCGTGTTGAATATGGGATGCACGTGACGAGGGAGGGGGGGGGGGAATGATTAGGTTTTCTCGGCAGTCCTGCGGAATGCTTGACTTGACTCGTAGTCCCCTATCTGTTTGTAGGCCTACCATCTCGAGGATAGCTCTGCCCGTGGTTGTTCGGCTAAGTCTTTCGAGCTGCGATACTCTGACAGCCTCCGCTTTTCGTCCCAGGTATTGTGCACTCCCATAGAGAGGAGCTTCACTGTGGAGGTGCTAATTGGTAAGCCCAGGGCCCTCTTTGTGCATCGTCGGATGAGCGAGTCTAGTTTTCTTCTCTCCTCCGACCTGATGTTTAAGAAAGGCGTGGCATAGCTCACGCGGCTTATTACGTATGCTTGAATTAGTTTAAGCAAGCTTCTTTCTTTCAGGCCTCGTCCTTTCAGCGCGACCCTTTTAAATAGTCCAAGGGCTTGCGTGGCAAATCTTTCTAGTCTTTTTATTGCCCCATCATTATATCCATTCTCCTGAATGAACAGTCCCAAGATTCTGATCTGATCTACCTTTGGAACTGGTTTCTCCTCTACTTTAATGCTAAAATCCCAGCTGTGTTTGCATCGGAGAGACTTTGGGTTATAGACGAATAATTCAGATTTTTGCGGAGAGCATGAGAGGCCCCTATTGGCAGCATAATTCACGACAGTGTCTGTCGCCGCCTGCAAGCGCTCCTCAATGCTCGCATCACTCCCCCGGTTAATCCAGAGGGTGAT